TGTGACTTCAATTTGAAGACTGTATACCAGCCATGATTAGGATTCCTGAATTATAAAGTATTTGGAAGTAATATTCAATATCCAATAGGGTTTCCGGCAAAAGATGACAACCCCTGGCGAAAGTGTGCCCATGTTCATGGGCAATCGTCCATGTGGCATTATTGCACACCAATGATGTTTTTGTATGGAGGACCCTCAAAAAATCATTCAAAATCCAAATCTTACCTCCTTCAGTCTCCAAGATGCGGTTAGATTTATTGAAATTCGTTGCCGCTCAAAATGAACAATTCCTCCTCAAACATAGCACCTCACCAAATTATTCATTTTGACAATCGTCGTTTCTTTTCTCAGACTTGGTTGCTCATTGACTAACTCCGTGCGTTCTTCTCAATTCTCTCTGCTGGAATTCACAACTGCCGAAAGATATCGCTCGCGTATAAACTCAAAAGAATATAATGTTTATAATATGTGAATTCGTAGAATCAGAATAATAAAAAAATCCGACTCTTCCTTTGATTATTATTAAAGGAGATGATCATGGTGATAAAAGGCAGGTGGGAATCCCGGGGTGGTTTAGAGTTGGAGTGCAAGTATTTTGATAAAGAAGCTGACAATCTGATGAGTTGTCTGTCATTCTTGTTGGAGATCATTGACGGTCTTCCCTTGAATCTCATCGTGTCACCTGGGTTCACGTAAACACAGCCTACTGAGAGCCCAGCCAGGGGACCCCGAAAGAACTACGTCCCATTCACATTAGAAATTAAAGTCCATAGTGTGTCGTTTGTTCGGGCCCCAAATTTGTCGCCGGATTATTTTCTTATTATTTTAGTTGTTGTTAATCCTATCTTCTTTCCTTCTTCTCCTCCTTCTCTTCTCCTCTTCCTCCGTCTTCTTCTTCTTCTTCCTCTTACTTCTCGACTTTGTTCTTGTTTTTCTTCTCCCCTTCTTCTTTTTTGTTTTTAGTTTACAATGTTATGTCCAGTCGTTTTCCCGGATGCTAAGGTGCTTGATGCGCTTGATTGGCTACAGCACACGAGACCATTGTCGGTCACATCACTTTGAATGAGGCCTTTCATTTGTTTTATACTTTCGATTCATATTAATCAACAATTTCATTATATGACAATATAATGCTTCTTTCGTTTCCAAATAATAATTGGGAGCTAAGAACAGAGATGATATTGATTCGAATTCCATAATGATGCATGATCGAGAAGCAAAGAATTAGTTTTCGCATGTGAATAGTATGAAGTACAGGTATGCTGCCAACCTTGCGGAAGATAACACATGCATGCATACAAGCATGATATTGAAGGAAAATGATTCTTAACTCAAGGCATCCAGAAGCCTGCTTCCTCGCAGTCGGGAATTTTAAGATTCAACCCTAATCTTCGCCTTCCTTATTCCGGTCTTCTGCTCTTCTCATCTTAGCTGTCTTCGTCATATTCTTCTCCTTCTCCTCCTCCGTCCGCTTCTTCGTATTCTACTTCAGTTTCTTCATCTTCTTTTCTAATCTTCTTCGTCTTATTTTTCTTTCTTTTCTATTTTTCGCCATCTTCTCTTTCTCTTATCCTATTAATACTCCTCCTCATTTTTATTCTTCTTATTACCCTACTTCTCCTTTTTCTATTTCTTTTTCTTATTTCCTCCGCTCCTTCTTTTCCTACTGCATTTTTTTTACTTCTTCCTTTTCTCATTTTCCTCATAAAATCTGGTTTGCATTTTCCTCTCTTTCGTCTCTTCCTTCAACCTTTCTCTAACCTTCTTATTCCATTCTGCATTCAACAATTTTCCTCAGACAATTGGGACCTCAATTGTTGCGTTCCGTCTGGGTTAGATGTATATAACTGATAAGCAGCAGTAACGCATCCCCCCTGCCCCCAGCCCCAATGCCATTTCTATTGTCTGTACAAGATACATGGCCAACTGATCTATCGACAAGCCATTTCTCTCACTTAACTATAAATATCTTTCTTCATTCTTTTAATCTATACTTTTTAATACTACACTTTGTAGGCCTACTGTCAACTAAATCTACCCCGAAAAGGAAAGGAAACGACAATTATGTAGTAAACATAATCAAATATATCATACAAGTGCATTTTCGAGATTTTTATTCAAATGCTTCACAAATACATCTACACTTGTCAAAAATATGAACTGTATAAAAAAGCAGGGCAAACATGACGCAGAGACAAATGTAATCAAAAGATTTAAAAGAAAAAAGGGAAAAGAACAGACTACATTCATGCCTGGAAAGACCCCGTATTTTGGATAGGGAGAAGAAAACAAAAAATATGTGGTTCAAAATTTACAAAAAACGTATATTTAAAAATATCATATATATATATATATATATATATATATATATATATATGAATAAGAAACATGCAGGAATTCATGTATAAATAAGTGAACAACTATATACTGACGAAATTCCTAAAATGATTAATATGACACGATTTGGGAATCAATTGTGAATTAGTCTTAACGCCTTAACCTGTCAGGTCAATGTTGTTTGTGGTTTATTTCAATCGCAAAAAGCTTTGTCGGATCACTCTTAATTGGTTGTGATCACACCTACAAATGGTTGACATTCAACATACATATTCTATTCGTCATAATATTTTGCAGCACAAAAAAAAAGAAGAGGGGGAGAAAAAAAAAAAAAAAAAAAAAAAAAAAAAAATCGTTTTCAAAATTAGTTTTTTACATCAAGCATATCAGCTTTTGTCACCTTTGCCAAAAAAGTATTAGTGTAGAATAAGTGCATTACAAACAGATGAAAATTAGCAAACTATTCTATGAGAGAGGGAAGGTATATATCTCCAACCCAAAAGCCAACATATAAGCAAATGTATACACAGATTGCCTGAAACAATGATTTCAATATCTCGGATGGATTCCATATCAAAATACACTGAAATACTATAACATTTGCATTCCACAATAAGCGACAATGTAATATGAGCCATATACAATAAAACAAAACATGATTGAAGTAGTTGCGATAGTGTTTCTTGTACATCTATGCTTTGAGACAATTGCCTCATCATTTGTATTTTGAGAATTTATGAGTCCAGAAAAGCTAAAATGAAAAAATAGATCTCTGCAAACATCCAAGATATGCATATAAGGACTTTGCACACACATTGCATTTAGAAAAGTGGAGGATGCAAGAGGCTGCAATATATTTTTATCAAAAGTTTAACCACACAATAGTGCTAATACTGAATTGGTTGGGCTATGGGAAGAGGTAAATACTGTCTAACATCCCATGGCAGTGTCCAATCAATCATATCAGAAATAATAATCAAACTTTTTTTCGCTATCAATTTTCTATCAATTTTCACACATCTCTACATTTTTAAACTATGAGAAACTGAAAACAAATACATGTCCAAATTATGGAAACATACAAAACAATATCATGTGAATAAATATTGAGAAAGAGAGAGAGAGTTAATCATGCCACTGTAGGGCTTTCATGATTCAGATTTCAATACTTCACATTAAGTCCAATTTTTCTAAACATGATTATTGTTTTTTTAAACTATTTATTACCCTGAATGTACATTACAACCAAGTGAACATAACAAAAATGTGTAATTTACTTATTTGAAATTCTCTCTTATCACTTGAATCATTATCAAAAGTGTTGAAAAAAATTAAAATCGTTCATAATTTCTTGTCCCAATATCATTTAATTCAACAATTAATATTTTCCATGTATACACAAATCATTTGGGTTAATTCAACACAAAACTTCAATATATTTTTTATGGTACTTTTGCACTATATCGGTACTTTTTTAACAAAAACAACTTACTGGTATCAAAATATTATTTTTTCAATAAAATAAAATAACATTGTACAGGGTGTAAATTAAATTTAAAAAAAAGAAACATTCAAAGTGAAAGCATGTTGGGACTAGAAACTAGAAACCAATTTTACTTGGCCTAGCATTTTCTTTTCTTGATACGTATATCTATGTTCTCTTGTTATTTCAAAATCTTCACTACTATCTCCTTGCTTATTACACTGCCAGTCGTGAAAACATGAAAATAGATGAACTGATAGATGTTAAGATCCGAGGCCCAAATAAATGAACAGAGATGGATACACATGAATGTATGTAGAAGTCCATGTAGCATGATTGTCATAAAAAACATTTAAGTCTACTTTGCACCAAACAAACTAGGTATAAACATAACAGGACACCTGAAATCAATGCTAAATCAAACCCTAAAAAACCCTGATTTTTGTTTACACCGTTCAAAATATTTCAATCTAATGTAAACTATTATGGTGTTAGAATAATCTAAGATAATTGTTTTACTCTGGTAATAGTCAGCATTTGCATGGTTAAATAAAAGCACAAATAATCATATCATCATACACAGCTTACAAGACTCTTTGTCAACAAATTAAACTGCTGATTAATCCTCATTCTTTCAAGCTTAAAGGGAAATGCAACCTTGATAGCAAAACTATATAATTGTCACAATTTAATGATTATATTTTCTTTACTTTCAACAGACTGTTGTTGCAGCAAGACAAAAATCTGAGTATTCTACTGTTTGAAACCTGATCTTTTCATCAAACCACAATAAAATTTTCAGTGAAGCTTTCCCAGAAACAAAATCCTAAGAATTCATGCAGACAAATATACAACTACTTAACAAAGTGGACGAAATGCAGCACCAGCCTACAGTATCTAATTAACAATTTCATTTAAAGTGACATAAATCTTTGTGCACTCAATTCATTTGAAAAACAAAACAACAACACTAGATCAGCTTCTAATATATAGTCATCTACATAGGCCAGAGTCCGGCAGTCTAGCAAATTTAGCTATTTACAGCAAAAAATAAGTCTATATTATTTACAATAGAGAAATATTCAGTCACAGATGCTCAGATGGATGGTTTTAAACATTACAGTACATGTAGCTAATTGCATCGTTAACATCATGAAATATTAGTTTTTCTCTTTAAATAAAAAAGGGGTTTATATTACCTTTAACCTATGTAGGAAAAACAAGGACTTAAAGGATATGAGAGTAAAATCTATATTATGTACAAAATAAAAATTCTCCCCATTTACACTTGGTTTGAGTGAATGAAATCCACCATTGTGCAGCACATACAACTTTGACAAGAGCTTCTTGCATGTCATAGTTTCTTATATCACACTAATCTATCAACAAATATCATGTGTCTCGTTCCACCATGAGAACCTCACTAGAGCAATAGTTCAGAGGAAAGGTTGTTTTCACAATTTCAACAAATAGAGTACACCAGTAATTGGGAAGATTTCTTCTGAGAGACAGACAATTTTTTGTGTACTATACCTTTTAAGTCCTAGAACAAGGAAAAATATGTCATCCTATAAAAAATATGAATATTACATCTCACCTAGTATATAATAAATAATTTCAAGGAGAATGAAACCCAACAAACATTAGCTGATAATCATATTCAAAACTGTCAGCTAGTGAAAATATTTTTAAAGAGATTGTTTTCTTTGCTAAGTAATTGAATAGGAGCAATTTCAAGATACATGTACATGTACTTTACAATGGCTCATAATTTGTAAAAAGGCTGTCAGCTAAAGTTTGTTGGGTTTCATTTTCCTTCAACTAATCTTGAGTTTCCATGCTTCTACATGTATGCTTAAACATGGCAAAAGGAATGATTTTATCTTTTACTAAAAAGTATGTACACAGGAGTTTCCCAACTCATAACTCCAAAGTCAAAATGACTGAAATACAACAAAACTTCATTCAGGTCAGCTTTCATTCATCTTCTGCTTTAGTCATCTTTCATCTATCAAAATTAAAATTTAAAAATCAAATCTCGTTCAATATATTCTACAAGTACACCACAATTTATGGTAGATTTATCTTTGCATATTTATTGATGCTAGGGTTAAATCTGATAGAAAAAGAAGGTCAGGAAAAAAACTTATTTTTTGTGGCAAGAGCTAATTATCTCCTCTTCCTACACGTATGTACAAATGTTATTTTTGACTTAACAGAGAAATATACATTTATGGCACCACCTTAAGATCTATCTCACAACAAGCACTATGTAATCTGAAAGGGTGCTGCGTTTAACTACTATTTTGAAAGTCATTACCTTACAGCCAGATCTGTGTCAGACAATCCCTGAAGATTTATGGACTACATGTACTATTCCTTCAACTACAGCAACTCTGACAAAATATGGTTTTGTGACACAAGATTATGGTAAACATACAATGTATATTCCTCTATTCCAAGACATACATCTACAATTAATAGCTGTTAACATAAGAAGAGTTTGTTACAACAATAATGTATACAAATAACCATCCAAATGATACATGTTTAGAGCACCATACAAGCTACCTTTCCCTTAAATCCCAACTCATCATCATAACTTACCCACATTGCAGGAAAAGCAGCATATCAAAGTCATTCCTCCATTCTCTAGTTTTTTAACCTTTCAGTTATCAATCAATTCAGTCATACAAAAAAAGAAAAAGCACCCAAGCGGCTGGCGGTTACACTCCATTCACATTATTAGTTGTTTGATCGCCAGATGAGGTGTTATCATCAGAGTCTGGTGAAACTTTTGTATGGGCCTTTTCTCTATACTCTGTGATGATCACTGGCACATCGTTGACCACAACCTGAGTTGATATGGCAGTACTTCGGTCAACATTTTTTAATCTTGGTCTGCAGTGAAAGAAACAGGGAAAGAAAATAGCTTGTATGATAAAAAAGAAAAGAGAAAGAAAAAAAAGGCAATCAAAAAATCACTGAATTTCTACCTGTTATATACAAAATTAATCCAGAGAAATTAAAATCTAAATTGTATATACACATGTATGGTATAGTGGTTAGAGCACCAAGTGTTTTTCAGTATTATTCAAATGGAAAATTCAGGAATTATCCAAATTTCTGTAAAAGCTTTTGATTATTCACTCAATTTTAACCAATGATCCCAATGTCTAACAACCAAGGTGGTTATGTCCAGGTATAGAGTTAGAATGTATTCAAGCTATATAACCAAGACTTGGTTTTACATGTACTTCCTTTAAGCCCAGTAAAGGCCCCATCAAGTGCTTCCCACTCTTACATCAACTCCTTATCGCATTGAGTCATATGCTAAATGAGCTATATATATTGATATGAAGTTTGGGGCTGGACCATAGGGCAGAACACTCATATTCAGATTGCTTGAAGAAAAAAAAACACCTATGCTTCTTAATTTTTTCTTCATGGATTGCTACATGCAAATATTAATGTTTAAATAGAAAAAAACTGTTCAAGAAAACAAAACACATTTGATGCGGGTCTTAGGAGGGTGGTCATTCTTTGTAGGTGGTCAATACAGCTGGTTTGACTTTATGATAAAGAAATATAAAATAATACAAATAAAACTCATGAAGTTGAGATATTTGCAATTCATCATTTAACAAAATTGCAGTACAAGCTATTTTCATGAATTACGCCAAAGACTAGAGCAACTGAATAACATGAAGTATTTTATAAATTTCAAGGTCTTTTATTTTATAAAGTGCAAGAACTATATGAAGATGACAAAAACCTAAAAACGAAGAAGATTGGGGGGGGGGGGGTGGGAATATCATTTATATCATTAGTCATGAATTTGTGTCCAAATCAGTTACTTCGAACCAAACACTAAAATAATAGTTTGGTAAATTGAATATATTGTTTAAACCTAATTGACAATGAAAATACTCAAACTTCTAGCCAGGTACATGAGTGTTTGGCACAAAGTCATGCCTGACAAACAAGATTCAATGTTAATTTCCTTTCAGTTGTTGAAGCCCTAAATTGTTTCCAAAAACAGAAAGTACACTTTTCAGAAAGAAAACAAAAGCCTGTTCCAGTATTACAGTATACCTCTGTAATGACAGTCCCAGACAAAGAAAATAAAATGATTGAACTGATTTCCTTTCAAATTTAATCATTATAGTTAAGTGCAAATTGAATTCTTTTAGCAGGAACTAGATAATTCAGCCACCTGTATCTGCAACTGTGCCATAATACATGCAACACGTGTACACCATGTTGAATTTGGTTTTTTTCATGGGAAAATGCGGATTTGTCATTTGCAATTGACTTTTGTTTTCATTCTTCTAACAAGAGAAATTTAAAAATACACACTGAAATAGGAAATACTGAGACAATGAAGAGGCAAAATAAATTTCAAAAAAAGGGGAGGGGGGGGGGAGGGGGGGGGAGGTGGGTGATACATGTAGTCATGTATGATTTGATATATTTACATTTGGCTTGTAAAAATAGAACTATTTGTACTAAAGTACTTACAGTGGCATGTTATTTCTTGTTGCCTTATATCATTTATTTTATTTATTTAAGAATTTGTCATGATTTGATTTTCTGTCAATTGCTCTTTTGAATAACAATGTGGAAAGAGTTCAAAATGGTCAGTGACACTGCTAATGTTCCTTGTATCCCTTGTTTTATAAACGTCAACACTTGAGCAAGTCAGCTAGATCGTATGTAGTATGATCGTCTTAAAGCGGGACTGCACTACTTGTAGCTACTTGCGCCCTCTATATAGCAAACAATGCCTAAGCAGTACCTGTTGGTCCCCCATGATCCCATTTTTCTTATGTTGAGAGCAGAGTTGATGGAAGTAACCACCTGTCAGTGACCATGCAGGAATGTCTAATCCCTCCTGACCAAACTAGTGCAGACAGGCTTTAAGAGAATACCTATCTCTATGACATCAAATTGTAAAAATACTAATTCAATACTATCACATTTTCATAGACCATTTTCCTTTCTTCCACAAGCTTCACAACTTTAAAACACTGATTCAAAATGAAGAAGAAGCAGTTTCAGATGTTGATCTTAAAAACAGTAAAGAGAGCAAGCAAGAGTTGAACTCGTGCCAATTCATATTCGGTGTCTGCAGTTTTTGCACTTCTTGTCATGCCTCTCCAAATGAAGAATTACTGTATTTCACAACATTATCAATATGATAAGTTGTGCTCCGAAAGTTGTGCCACTTCCTTTTCCTGCCATGTCTGGGTATTTTGGGTTCAAATAATCTTGATTACCGTATGCAAGATTTGGCAATGTGGTTATTAAAGCAACCAAATACCAAGTGAAAGTTTCAAATCCATTAATTAATGTGTACCATTAATAATAATAATAATGATATAATAATAATAATAATAATAATATATATATTTATAAAGCGCCTTTTCATTAGATACAAAGCCCATAAACAGGAAATACTTGCAAACAAGCTTAAAGAGAGAACATGTCTTGCACATGCTATTAAATGGAGTTTAGGGTAAACAACTAGATACAGCCAGAATTAGATGAAGTAATAGAAAGATGATGCACCCTCAGAGGAGACTATTTGACAGATTGGACAGAAGAAAGATCTTGAGTGGACAGTAAGGACTAGATCCCAATTACACATTAGTACACATATACCCAAATCAAGACTCAACCAAAACAGAGCAAAAACTAACTTGCATGATTCACATTTTAAAAATTACATTATTGATTCTGACAAACAGAATAAATGAGAGGTAACTATGTACATGAAACTTTAACATGATATGGGTGGTTGGGGTGGGAGCGGGGCGGGGGGGGGGGGGGGGGGGGGGGGGGGAGGGGGTTGAACAGTAGGAAGATGTTTCTCAGCCTTGAGGATGTCATGAAAGCTAAGAGCGGAGAAAAGTTTCTATGAAAATATGACTGTGTACATACAGGACGTGAGGATCAGACCATCTAAGCCAAATCATAACATGAAAACAAACTGGGATTCAACATAATACCTGCCCCGGCCCGGAGCTACTCATTAGGTTCATAGACACATGAGCAACATCATACAGAGACTGTCTACATTACAATGTCTTAACTCGTTTTAAACCTTGTCCAAGATCTACATTTATTTTTCAAGAATGCATTTTGTTGGTATGAACTGTCCTTTCAAAACCACATGGTTAATAAGAGTACATTGACATACATGTATCATCATTTCTTCCCATCATATCCCAGAAAGTAAAGGCTCAATAGGCAGAGTTGTATCCAAATTTGATTTATATGCTTCTCAGAGCTCCATAATAGCCCACATCAAATCCTCTAACTTGTGAAAATAAACACCAACGGTTGTTTTGCCAGTACTGGTAGGCTGATACTCTTTACTCAAGCATAAACTCATGTTCCAATATAGATCAACTCAGAGCAGATGAGCTAATCCAGCTGTCTAATGAATAAATCAATTAGTGAAATGACTAATTACCTGTTTTTCCTTTGACTTAGACCTTGTTTTCTGAGATGCTTTGGTTGATGTAGACCAGTCCCAGGGGCCATGAATTGCTGGGCTCTCTGTTGAGCGACTAGCTGTGCATTCAAACGTGGCTTACTAAGAAAAAAGAAAAAATAGAAAATAATAATGAATCAAACTGTTAAGTCTTTGATCTACTGTACCTTAACTGGCCTCATACTTGCCAATGCATGATGTTCAAGTCATTTTATCATTGTAGAATTAGATATTTTCTATGTGTATAGATAGAAACATAATCAATGATATTTTGCAGGGATAAATTTTCAGACGTGCCTTTTAAATATTCACGTGTAGTTTAGTGATCTACACTATTTGTTTTCATGGGAGTCTGTACTGATATTTTCTTGGCCTTAGTACAAGGAACACCTGTTCACATTTTCAAAAGTTCCGGGGTTGAGAGAACAGTTTTACAGGTCCATGTGAGGCTTGTGTACAAGACTTCTGTGAATGTTGAGCCCTGGGCCCTGCAACACAAAGCTTTAATAGCAATTGATTGTATGATTGATTGATTGATCTATCATACAATCAATCCATGTACATCGTAGTCAATTGCAAAAAAGCAATCAATTGCTAACCTATCTGTGTGTCAACGGGCTCCGATATAATTTGTAGTTTTTTTGAGGTAGAACGTGCTAATTGCACACTCAACTTTCTAATTCATTTAAGGAGCAAATAAATGCTAGATGTACAGTATATAACATTAAAGAAAACGCTTTGGTCTGTTTAGATGTGATTGTTGGGCAATCATGGTGACCCACTTGATATTTATCAATAATTGTGGATTCTTTTTCTCTGTATTGTTCATGCTAACCCAGGAGGAAATGAGTGAGTTCCCTGGCAAGGGAAATTCAAATCCCTCCCAGGAAGCAGGGGTCTGGCTGACAACACACACAACGGGATATCACCTTTCCTATAACCTTAACATCAACATAGAGGGCGACAGGTAGGTCTACCCTTATGTGCAGTATTGATCACATCTTCATGCAGATCTTATTGATGACTAGTTCAGGTTAATGTCATCAGCCTTCAGAGTAAGTGGGATGTGGAGGAAGGAATAATTTGTGAAACAGATTTATAAAGATTGACATCTAATACAACAGATTCAAGGCTGCTTATTTTCTGTATGTTACAAATTAATAGTATATGGAGAACTAGTTTTCTAAACCTGTAGGATTTACCGGGAAAGCAACTCATTGTGAAATCGATTGCAGTTGCAAAAAGGAATGCATAGCTTGATTTTGTGTGAATTTACAATTACAATGCTCTAAATGCGAAAAGGAATCACTCCCTTTTTCATTAAAATTAAATTAAACATTTTAATGAACGGGTATTTGGTCAAAACATCATTTGAAAAGAATTTAAATGCAGTGCTGGAGTAACGATATTTAAGAAAAGATTTGGATGTCTTACCGAGTAGAAGTGCCTTTTCTGACATCACACATCTCACATTTGAATGCCTCTGATCGATTACGATAAGTGCAGACACTACAGTCCCAGTAGTTGGCTTCTGGAGAGCGGGACACTCGTTTCTGTCTCCTGAAAAAATATATGTTAAGTATAGAATAATTAACCAGGAACAAAATTTTACTCTGCAGTCGACCCTGCAACATAATCAGTATTTTGTAATTATCAGATTACCTTATTTCATTCTCAAGTTATGCACTAACAAGATATTTTTGAAATTTAAATTGAACTGTTACCTGTGACCTTTGACCCCAAAATGTAATCAGGTAATCTTTACATGGTCATACAGACAGTTAACAAGTTTCACTATGATAGCACAATTTGTTTAAGTTATCGCGTTCACAAGATATTTTAGCACATTTAAATTGACCTGTGACCTGTGACCTCTTTACCCCTAGATATAATCAGGTAATCTTTACACGGTCATACTACTCTTACCAAGTTTCACTGCGATAGCACAATCTGTTCTTAAATTCTCGCGTTCACAAGAATAATTACGGACACACTCACGTACGACCCGAAAACATAATGCCTCCAGTACTCACTACGTGTGGTGGAGGCATATACTCAACTTTGCTCATTCCATCACTGTAAATCAGCAATATCTCAAAATCTATTATTACCACAGTACTTACCGTACAATCAACATCGTTGGATGAATTGTTTATTTTACCCGACTGCTAAGAAAGCGTATGTTTGTAAATTTGCAACCATGATATCGACTGCTTTAAGTCCTCTCTGAGGGACTTGGTAATGAGGATTAATGCCTTACCAAAACGCTGCTAGGGCACTAGCGTATCAACTCGGTTTCAAACCCAGGACCTCCCGGTTACAAGACTACTGCTCTACCACTGAGCCATCATAGTCATAATAGATGATAGAATGATATGCTGACTCACAACTGAGTAGAGCAATCTTGATTAGGCCCAAGTCATTCCATTTTAATTTGGACCCTGCTTTTGACTTCAATTTTTTTTTTTTTTTGGGGGGGGGGGGGGGGGGGAATCAGGTATATTTTCCCCCACTTCAGAAATCGATTGCATGCACCGACGGAAGTTATGACCAAAAGTGCTGCAGTTCTGGCACTCAAATAATGAGTACAACTATTTTGAATGTTATAGGCTCAGCTGTAAATAGGACAACAAAACATTTTAATAATATAGAATTTACCAACAATTTAGTGGCTCAGTTGTCAACATCAGACACTCCCCAAATCCAACTCTTGAGTACAGTACGACAAACGCTTGCCAGAAAAAAACCCATTACATACTGTATATACACACTAGCTGTAAGAGCGATAACAATTGCGTACGTGTAGTTTTAGTTGTTTATCACGTGATGATCGCACCAAGACATATCGGCCTTATGTAATTTAGCTGTAGCGGTGCAAGACACATTGACGCAATAAGGGCACTGTGTATAAACATTATACATTTGTGTCTATGGCGCACACAGCTACACAGTGGTAATGTCCCACGGAACGTTGTTTCAGCAAGTGCAGCACAGGTAGAAATTAGACATATAGGCCCAAAATAATTCAGTTGCAACAAATTCTGGATCCCAATAAATATTTTTTTTTGTGTACACTGCGTGCCTTTGCGTTTCAGCCGGGACCAACATTGCAAACTCTTGTGCTAGGTCAACGTTTTTATATTGTAAATTGCACCTTCCAGATTATTATATTACAGTCAAACCTGTCTTAGCGACCACCTGTCTGTAACAACCGCCTGTCCAGAACAATCACTTAAAAACCCTTGTGAGATTTCATGTAGTTAAGAACCTGTACACAATGACCACCTGCCTAACGTGACCAGTCGCCACTCATTTTGCTTCTGCTGATATGTTTTTTTTTTAAAAGCCAGACAATTTCAACAAAAAAAAAAGTTAAATCGTTGTGAATTTTAATTTTGACAAAACATGTACCACTCTTTATTTTTTCAAGCGCTCTACCGACAGCTTCTACACAGGTACGGGTTAGTGATAGGTTATGAAATATAATTTGTGTATCATCACCGATTGCGTTCATATGGCACACAGTAGCTTTAAAAAAAATCGGATAGATTAGGCAAGTTCTTAATTTGCATTGACAATGTTTCACCTTGATTTTCAATATTGTTTGTAATAGAGTAAAGAAGGGGGTTATCAGCCAGTGGTAGTTTTTGGGCCTGTCCGTTGGATGCATAGTAAAATCTCTTTAAAATACATTGCATAACAGCATATCACACACATACAATAACATGGCAGAGTCACTTGAGAACCACATTTGCAATGGAAAATGTATCCTTAAATATCACATTTTAGCGATGTAATCGGCGGTCCCGCTACCCGAATCTGAAAAATGGAATATCTTACGCGTGTCTGTAAGGAATATGGGTTCCATAAAATGAGCTGTATTTCAAGTATTTTTCAGATTTAGAGTCAGATTTTTTGATCATCGAAAGCTCAAAAGTTTCTCACCGCATGTATGTTATCCTATCAGTCAGATAACTATAGCGCCGTATCTCTGTATAGTTTATATGTTGATTCCAATTTCTGATCACCGCACTCGCAGGTGTAGTTTTCGGTCATGCGGGGGGGGGGGGGGTTACGTGCTCTGGCACGGCGCACGCTCCCTATTGACTTTGTACATGCGGCCGAAAAAACTGCCTCGTTAGGCCGAAAACTATCGCCAAAACAGTCAAAATGAAAATCAATATTGCCATGGTAATTCATGATTTTTTTGGGGGGATTCTTTTTTTTGTTTGAATGATAATAGTATTGGCCTCATGATTTGAACAGAAAATAATAATAAATAGGAAGTAAAGAGTAAAAAAATAGGATTTTGCCGTAAGTGGCGGAAAACCCCCTCCTTTACTTTTTTAAAAGAAGTTCTACTAGGTCTATGTAGTCTAATTATAAACAATTGGATCTAAATACCAGTCCAGTAGGGGCGCTAGTCCGAGAACGAGGATCGTCCGCATAAACAGGGATATCCTAGTATATGTGGACAAAATCCGTTCTTAAAAGTAAGAATCCTCTGCGGTTTTTTTTCATTGGCGCTCTGCGGGTTCCCGAACCGCGCGCTGGCGATGCGAAACACGGATTTCGCATAGAGTCTAAGAAAATAACCTCAGTTCACCGTCTACTTTTGGGCGCTACTGCAGTTCCGTATCCATTTTTTTAGCAGTTTTATATCGATTCTTAGCAAAGGAATTTTAGCCCAATTTTTAACTAATTTTAATCATAATCATATATTGTATTTTCCACCTGAATTTGGATCACATCCGACATCGGGAAGCCTCCGTTTAGGGCTTCGATGTCGACGTCGTCGCTCAGTACCGTGTCCGCGCTATAGCTCTGCACCTCAAACTGAAGCTATCAGTCTAAAATTATGCAAACTTCGCGTATGCTTTATGGTATTACGCACATGCACGATACCATAAACTATACGAGAAGCTTGCATAATTATAACTGATAGCTTCAGTTTGAGTTGCAAAGCGGTAGCGCGGACACGGTACTGAGCGACGACGTCGACATCGAAGCCCTAAACGGAGGCTTCCCGATGTTGGATGTGATCCAAATTCAGGTGGAAAATGCAATATATGATTATGATTAAAATTAGTAAAAAATTGGGCTAAAATTCCTTTGCTAAGAATGGATATGAAACTGCTAAAAAAATGTATACAGAACTGCAGTAGCGCCTACTTTTGTGGGTTGTCCCTCTTCCCGAGGATTTATCGCTCAAGACATTAGGTCTAGATTCTACTTCTCTTTACAATTAAGTTAATGTAAACTAAAGTGCTTCAAGAAAATCATTGCAGAATCCGTTTTTCGCATCGCCAACACGCGGATCAAAATTATGAAACGTCGGCAGAAATGCGGACGATCCTTATTTTTGCGGACAAGTCTGTCCGCGTTTACGAAGACAATCCTCAAAATTCAAATCGGCTTGATTATGCGGACGATCATGTTTATAAATCAAACTGTCCATAAATTAGAGTTTGGACATGTGAAAGTATTTAGGGATGGTAAGGTTAACAATTGTCACTTTTATTAATAAATTCCCCATATCCATACAAGAAGACAAGTCAGGGTCCAAAATGCCCGAGCGTAGCTTAGCTAGCGCGCGCTAGCGATCCGATGGGAGCGCGATCCGCGAGCTGCGGCTGTGAGCCGAGTGCAATCTCGAGTCTTCACTGCATCGCCACTGCACTGGCCCTGGCATTCGCCACAGCAGATTCAGATTGGGGTCTCAAAAAATTATCATTTGATCGTTTAATTCAAGCTCATTTCTAAAAAAAAATACATTCATATTGAACTATTAATCACAAAAAATGAATACATTACCCTGAAGATGAACGCTTTCCCTCCATGACCGCAATTTAAGGGCAAATTTTACCCAGTTTCTGACTTTGAGTCTGACTTTTGTGCTTCTAAACTAGTCTGTCTTCCAGAAGCAGGTCGACCACGTATAGTTTAGGGTCTCCTACGTTTTCTCAATAAATATGTGTTAGTCTATGGATCTTCTCTCTTCTTGATCAAATTTTTTTTTGTATCTCCATCATGTCTTCATGTCATCAATTTAGATATTGTAAGATCTTTTCAAGATTAGCACCCGGGTAAATTTATTACAGGTTTAGTCATTTTTACCTGTAATACAGACTATCTCATAATCTACTTGCATACTCATAACCCTCGCTAATCAAGCGGATTTTTTTTTTTTTTTTAGGGGAGGAGGAGGGGGGGGGGGGGTTACTGTTTCCGGTGGATGTTTAGGTCAGTAGGAATTTTGGACGGGGTATGAATGGCCTCAACCATCGTATGCATATTGTGTACAATATTGTAGTTATGGTACATAATCTGTCGAACCGTTGAACTTTTGATTGTACATGAGATGATGAGAACCATTCCTGTAAAGACCTTTCTCTAGAAAAGTCTTTTAATAATCGATCGAGAATTTTACAAATTTATTTTAATTAATTAATTTGTTCTGATTAGGTTTTAGCAGTAAATTGATAGCAAATCTGAAGAAAAAAAACTGCACTAGACTAGGAGAGATTCGAGCTATAATATCTGCAATGGCTCGAATTTCTCCACCAGTGCATTTCTCCCGCCATTTCTCCTACTAGCCCCGGACATTTTGGAGTAAAAAGTAACGTGAAAGTATGATAATCGATTTGTTATTGTTGCTGTTGTTTTTTGTTTGTTCGTTTGTTTCATTGTTTGTAAGTGATTGCCCCAGGTGACGAGAGTTGAACCAAATTTGCTGAAAATATTGCCGAAAATTGTTTCCACCAAAAAAAAATTAAATATATTTCCTAGGCTGAAATTGATGACACATTTTGACATTTGCCAAGATAAGGCTCTAGTGACGTTTCGGGATGTACATTAATTCAGGAGGCCACTAAATAAGTCGCGTAACAATTCTTAAGTCGAAAAGTGAACGTTGTCTGTTTTTTAATTCGGTTTTACTCGTACTCTCCCGACGGATGTGCACGATATTGTGACGTAACTATAAAATCAAGCGCAATGATTGCACATGCGCAAACAGTGCTACTTTACTGAACTGTCATTGGCCCAAAGTTTTTAGTGACGTCATTTGGTACGCTCTGTCATGTTACAAGTGAATCGGCCTTGGCAACACGATCATCCAGAGCATGCAGTTTATAAAGAAAGCGAAACAAATTCTCAGAATACCATCGGTACATATGGAATGGATTGTTAATGCGGGTAAATATCCTATATAGTTTTGTTCCTTCAGTATATACAAAATGATTAATTCATGATTTAGTACAAATGCATGTATATGGTTTAAAATTAGACCAAAGCCAGCCTGAGTGGGCTTAGGCCTATAATAATTATTACAATTATTATTTGTTGTTGTTGTAAGCACTAAGCTGTACGTCTAATCAAATTTCAGCTTTATTGATGTGATTCACTTTAAAAAATACTCATATACCGAGACCGTTGTGTATCCGGACACTACTTTGAAGAAATAATAGTTAGTAAATCGCTTAAGACTTATGTTAGACAATTTTATAAAGGACGAATATTCATTATTTTTAGTGCTTTTTAACGCATACCTTACATCGAATCCAAATTCCAAAATGACAGCCTTACTTAAGCTAAGCATCCGGACACTCAACCCTCCATTATACTTACTTTGCAAATGCTATTTAGATTTGACAGAAAACGATAGCTCTTGTTTGTCATAATCAATACATCACTTGTAAGTGATGTTGGCTTTTAAAATATCTGATACGCATTTAATGAAATAATCTTGAACTTAATATTTTTTCTAAAGGATGGCTGAAACGGAAGAACCCAACACGAAGATACAGCTATCAGTGCCATCATCTCCAATAGGGAGAAAAACAATTCTTTCTGATGATGCCATAGGAACCAAAAAGGTAATTACACGGCTTGAAAATACAATTATTGTTGGTAGATCAGTTTTCTAGAAATGTGTCATCCATGACATCGAACATTTTATGCATTCTTCTCTAAACTAACAGTAGTACTGTTACAAGTGTTAGTACATGTAAGTAACCATGCGATTTACTTTTTTTAACTCAAATTTTTTACTAAAATACTAGTTTAGTGATGCACTTTCACAATGGCACAAAATTATAAACAGCTCACTATTTCAATTCATCACTATTTTTTTAAGGATTCTAACTTTCAAAATTTGTCAAAATAAATATCCGCCTGGGACAAACCCATCAGGCCCTTCAGGCCTTTGAAAAAATTATCGTATTTGAATGTGCTTAGTTTTGATTTTGAATGTGTTCTATTGCAAAAACTTTCTGAAACATTAATGATCGTATGTTTTAACCTCATGAATGAACGTAGTCATGTGATAGAGCAGCTTCGCCAGAGTTTCATTATCACTATCCATAGTCAGCGAGATCAAGAATATACTTCGCAAAAGAGATGACAAATTACGTGTTTATTACAAAGGTCTTTCAATTTGTCATGTATCTTTAGTGTCATCCGTCAATGCCCATTACTTTCGCCCGATTTCTTTTAAATGTTTTTAATTACAAATTGAATTATCAAAGTTTGGCTGAATTTTAGTTCCTTTATATGAATATTGACGTTGTATCTGTCATTTTCCTTAATAGCCAGGCTTACCCCGATAGACAGTGGAGAGAATAATCATACACAGATTATATAGCGCACCCGATTTACTGATAGATATAGGGTAGGGGCAAGATCGGTGAAAAGTACCTGGGATGCTCCGTGTGCCATATAACGCATCACTACATTAAAAAAAAATGTCCGCCGGGCCTCCAAACTAGAAGGGGGGGGGGTGTTATATCAGACCCATTTTGATAGTAGATGAGCAATTGAAACAGCCAGATGATTAAGTAAAAGAATTATACTTTACAGATAACACACCATTCAGTCTCTTTTTCCTTCCTCTTTCTCCTTTTCCATCTCTTTCGATTGCAAGGATCATGCTAAATTGGTTGATGCAGTTCGAGAAATAGTACCGTGTCCACGTGACAGCAATGTTGATACCATCATTTACCAGTTACGCGCTACATGGATGAGGCAAGAGGCTACTCGAGTCGTCATGAAGAGAAAACTAGAAGTGAGTTTAATGTGAAAAATATTTGGGGGGTATTGTTTGATTATATTGTAAACATGAATTGTACCAGGGTTAGTATAGGTTTTTTCCGGCCAATTTCGTAAAAGCAGCAATCAATTTCATTAACATGCATTCCTGTTCGAGCAAAATTTCTCCATCCGTTGCTCCCCTGTTTCATTTTTAAACTTGTTGCATTTAATTTCGTTTCGAGTCACTGAATTTTCTAAACATGCACATTCAAATTAATGCTTGGTTCAGTCAATTAAGAAATGCGTAAGGGTCATTCAATTTCGCCGATGTTGAGTGGGAGGTGAATTCATTGGCGAATTGCAGTTTCATTTTCGTCTATGGGCAACCTCTTTCGCAATCGGGTCATTCAAATTAAAACTAGACCTCATAATCATAGTATGAGGCTCTATGTTCATTCGGATATTCAGTATTTCATGTTCATTTATTTATTCTTTTTCTCTTTGATCTTTTCTGATATGATTTCATATTATACAATCTTCTTATTTATATGATATATGTATATTGCATTTTTTTTCTTTCTTTCGACATTTTTTATTTTTGTTGAAACATCTCTTTATGCATATTTTCATATTTTTTAACTGCCTTTTGGGTTATTTTTTAAATGGTTTGTTTTGATCAATCTTGATTGAGTAGGTGATCGTTCTTTCTTTTCATTTAAACATCTTTTTATTTATTCATCATTGTATTTTGTTTCCATCATGTCCATGTCTATTACACCTGAACTCTACCTCAGTCTGTCCAAGATCTGTTTATATATAGCTTGTGCTTAGAAGAGAAGTCACAAATTGTGCACCTTTTCTGGGGACAGTAACCTGTGTAATGACAAAACGAATACGCATGTCATTCCTCCAAGTAAAATTTGCATACAATAATTTTATTCAAGCAGAAGTATATTAAGTGACAAATTGACATCAAATGAAGAGCAATGCACAAATGTCACATATATGCCTAATGACGAAATTTAATGCACGAAGACATACTACCGTCTGTCTGGCGCGAATTTGAATGCTCTTTGCACGCTTTTCTATATTGAATGCTCGTTTTACACGTTTCTGTGACAAGAGTATGAAATCGCATGCTACTAAATGAAATTGAATGACGCAATTAGCTTTTTGAATGTTGATCTACATAGTCATTCAATTTCGCACGAACTTGAATGAACGTAACGTTAATTCGGATGCTAAGTTTACGAAGTTGGGCGGGAAAACTATTACGACTCGATCTCAGAATCCTTCCTGGCTTCGATAATTACATTGAACCAAACATAATTTGAACCATATGCCTTTGTAGTATGATCATCTTATCTTTGTTTTATTGAATTTCATTAAAAAAATGTAATAAGTTGTAACATTTAATTGTTGTTTGTGCAGATACCATTCACATAGTACGTAGCCAACTGTGAGCAGTCATTAACCAACGATGTGCCGTCAGATCGTTTTGACAATAAAAGTCAAGATACATATATTTCGAAATGCTTTTGGCTAATATTTACAATTAAAATTTGTTAACATTTGTTCTTACAATGCTTTGTTATTAACTTTTTATTTTTGTGTAGAAGATCAAAGAGAAGTTTACTCTGAAAGCTGAACATCAATGTGGTCTTGCAAGTGAGAATGCATCCCTTCGAAAGCAATATAACGAGATGAAAAAAAGATTCGAACAAATCTTGTGCGACTATAGACGAGTTTTAAAGGAAAATATCTCAAGCCAAAATCAGGTAAGGATTTTGCACTAACAAAACTTTCAAATTTCAACCCAGGACCTGACCTGTAACTCGATTGCACCCCTGACCCTTTCCCTACATGTGTACACCTTTGACAATTAGAGCTCAGAGCAAATGTCATCGGGGTGTAAAATACTGGATTACCAGGGTGAAAATCGGCCTTAATAGCATATTCAGATTCACTCAGTTTCGACTACAGCTGTTATGTATGAATACATGCAGTTTATTTTTTTTGTTTTTGTGTGTGATCCATTCGTAATATTCTCGTTTGTATATGTATTGCTTTTTTTTCTTCTTTAGAAACCACGAAACCAAATGAAATTTATGAACATAAAGATTTCTTTTTCTTTCAATCTCGGTATAATTTGCAATCATTATGTGCCGAGGAGAGATGATTATAAATATTTTTTTCTCTTGAAATTCGTTTGTCTTTGAAAACAGTTCATACATATAAGCCTACTTTTCCGTTTCTTAGTATTTTTCGTCTTCCAAAATAGATCCAACAAAGTTTATTATTCGCAGATTGTTCTTGAGGAAGGAGAGAAGAAAGAGACCGAATCATCAGCTGCTGATTTGACCGTTGCTAACAGACCATGTGGAGAAACAAAGGGACGAGCAAAAGCCATTAAAGAGGTAAACCTTTTCTTGATAACAACATTTTGGTGGTCGAAAATGTATTTGATTATTGCCTTTGGAACTATTTGTATATAGCGCCCCTACATATTCGATATCAATATACATACTTTTTTTTTTTGGGGGGGGGGTGTGTAATGAAATTGCTGTTAAACTGAAAATGAATAACTTAATGTTGTGAAGTCAGATAAGTACTAAAGCATATCAAATGAATCTACTCCGATATAACCATCTGGTTACTCCGAAGAGGTTATCTTGTGATATTTGCCTTTTTCTTTTCAGATTGGCAGCGGTACACATAAACAAAATCAAAACATTAGTGATGAACCAGAGAAGTAAGTTACTCATTATCATACTTGAAATTGTCAAATAATTTTGTTTTGTTAAGTCTAAATTTCTAATTATTCTTCAAATCTTGTATATGATATCATGCGAATGGTAAGAAAAATTTGTCCGCCATTCAGTTCTTGCATCTATTAATAGTTTGGAATCAGGAGTGCCTTATCATGATACTATCACACCATCACATTTATAACATTTAAATAAACCTTTCAACTTTATCTATTATCATAATACCGTGTTAATGTTTATCAGAGAGTTTGTCCATTGATGATGAAGAGGAAATCAGATATACATGAATATCAAAACACAGAAGAAAAAAACACACCAAAACACAACTCTATATCTGGAATATGCTTTTCATTTGCGGGTCCAGGGCTTTGTAGTAGAGAAGGGGATCCATCAGCACACCAAATTTCAGAGGTAGAAGAACATCGTTGCAGGCCTATATAGAAGATATACAGTAGATTTGCGGGTGCACCATGTGTGAGAGACAGAGAGAGAGGTTTGAGGAGTCCTGAAAAAGGACTCTGACTTGGTAATCTTTCTGGAGGAGTGTAGTCCTGAAAAGGACTGTTTGTTATCTTTCTTAGCATATAGTTCTCAGGAGAACTATAGCGCTTGAAGAGGATGAGCCACTCATCCTCTATATAGAAGATATCATGCCAGCAAGCAAATTTTACACTTTAGAAAGTTTTTTTCTTCATTCTATAACAGAATTTCAGACGAACCCATTCGTAAAATAAAAGAGGAGCTAACATGTCTTCACTTTGAGAATGATAACAACAAGGTTATGGTGGATCGCCTGCGTCATATACTTTCATCGTAAGTCTCTGTGTCATTATAATTTTTCACTAACATTTTCCACTGTAATTTATAATAATTGATTATATCCATGATTCATATCCATAAATTTGTACCTATGTAAGCATTGTTTGATTTTCAGGAAGCAAATCGTCTTAAAATTCTTAACATTATAGTCTACATCGCCGATTTTTCCTGTTCACGGCTGAAAAACCCCTCTCACTTTCATCACGACTTTTGGGTTATCAATTAGTAGCTTTGCTCCCGCGACAATAGACCGGCTTACCGACATATTAAAGTTTCATGCACACTTTTTGAACAAAGGATTTTCTTTACAGCCTAAAAGCTAACTCTAGGCTTGTACGACATAGCAACAAGTAATATATGCAGACTGGATTTCAAGTACTGCAGCCATGAAATAACTCGTCACTAGGTCCCAAGGAAAGAAACATTCCTTAAATTGGAATCATACCGGTCTATTGCTCCGGGCTTTATTTCGTCCAAGGTAAAAAGTTAGTATTAGGTATACTGTTAGGTTCAGGGTTTAATTTGGTTAGTGTAGGAATTCGAAGAGCAGCAATTGTCGCAGAAGCAAAAAAAAAGTGTCATACAATCGACTTTCGCCTTATTAATCGGTGTATACATGGTAAATATTGATGTGCAACGTCGACAGGGGGGGGGGGGGGGTGAAGCTCTTCGCTTATGCAATGTCTCTTGAAGGAATTCTAACGTCAAATGCATTCTTTTAAAATAACATTGCAGATTTCATAAAAACATCATCATCAGCAGCGGTACAATGCAGGTGTCTCCCGTTTCAAAGATCGACCAAGCGGTCCTTGCCACGTTCTCAAAGATTCCAGTAAAGCGACTTGACCCAACTATGCTTCAGCTCTGGAGGAACAAAGCAACAGACGCAGCAGAGGAGATTCTGATCGGTAAGGGTGCCTTCGGAAAGGTGAATCTCATGCGCTACCTACCTACGAATATACCGGTTGCTGTCAAGGTCCAGGAGAAGAAGAATCGTGGGATAAGCGAAGATGAGATGAAGAACAAACTTGTCTCCAGATCGATGAAGGAAGCAGTCATGCATCACGTGATGTCGGACAACCCGTCCTTCCCTGGCTTACTTGGTGTCGTCGAGATAGAAGATAATTTGGGTGTGGTGTTGGAATTCATCGGGGACAAACAATTCGTTATCATCCATCCATTATGTGACGTCCTCCTTGAAAGACGTCCTGGGTTAAGCCGACTGGAATGGATCGACATCGCATTCGATATCATCCAGGGCCTTGCATCCCTCCACGACAAGAGACTCCTCCATAATGATCTCAAGAAGAACAACATTCTCCTGCAACGAAGTGGTGAGCGATGGCGAGCGTATATCATTGATTTCGGACATGGTAGTACAGTCACAATGCCTTTAAAATTCCCAACTTTTTCACTTGAAGAAGAACGAGAATACATGGAAGGACTCCTCTACCACCATCTCGCTCCCGAGATCGTAAGAGATCAACAGCCAACATCGGTATACTCGGATATATATTCACTGGGGAAGGTTCTGCTTGATATTGGCAGAGTTTCTGGGGATCGAGATCTTAGGCTGGTCGCTGAGATGTGCACCAGGGTCAAGCCGTATAGAAGACCCACCATGTCCAACGTTGAACTCTCTGTGATGCGAACCAAGGAAAAGGTACAACAATGAGCTTTCTATACTCATCCCTGAAGAACAGTCAATAGGCTGAATAAAATAGTTACATACCAGGTACTCACTTTTACAGGACAACTGGCTGGATGATAATAACATGAACAACACAATTTCACCCCAGAAAGATGGACAATAAACCCGGATCATAAACAAAAATTGGGAACTTCGATACTTTACCTACAGATGTAAATTTTATTTAAAAAATCAATTGACAAAAATTAAGGTATGAAGGTGTTATAATAAACAAATAAACAGAATACTTGTATAACTTTAATAAAATTTGAACATATGCTTTTTACAAAATTGTGTTTGCCTATTGATCATTTATTTTGTTGGACTGATTAGTTTGTTCATTGTTCTAAACTGTTGCACCTTTTTCTCTTATTTTTACCTTTGAAAAAATAAAAAAAATTGGCACTTTCTGTAAGGTCTTAACGGTGGACATCATTGGGATCATTGAAGCACGGCTGTAAGATACTGGTTCAGGGAGGAGTCTCCATTGGATATACCACCTTTAACAGGCTGAAACATAATTTTTAAAAAGTACAGTCTTGTTAATCAGGTAACGAGTTTGAATTATTAGACTGACTAAGAGGATACTGGTGATGTTATCAATATCAATTGCAATTATAGTGCAGTTGTGACCAGGCGCAGATTGGCCGAGCGGGCCTTGCCCCCCCCCCCGCAAAAAAAAAGAGCGAGAGAGAGAAGGAAAAGAAGGGAAAGGGAAAAAGGAGAGAAAGAGAAAGAAAGAAGAGGAAGAAGAAGATAAAAGGGGTCAAAAGAAGGAGAGCGGGGGAGCCGAAAGGGCCTTGCCCCGCCCCCTCCCCTACATCAAAACATAAGAGAGAAGGAAAGATAGGGAAAGCAAAAAGAAAAAAAAAGAGGAAGAAGAAAAGAAAAGAAGGGGGATATCAGGTGCAATTTTCTCGCCAACAAGTTATAGATCGGGGGGGGGGGCAAAAGGCCCTGCCTCTCCCTCCGACCCCGCCCAAAAAAAAGAGAGAAGGAAGGGAAAGGGAACGAGGAGAGCCTCCCCAATTCAATTGAATCGTGGTTTATTTTAATTCGATACCGGTGATTTAAAAATGTTGCTGAAATAACATTATTTTCCGAGTTTTTTCCTCACTTTTGAGTAAATTATACTTTTTTATGCCTTTCTTGGAAAATGACAAATTCCTAAAATTACCGTCTGGCGAGAAATATGCTTATTTTGTAGAGGCTTACATTTCGGGGGCCCGCGGAACGGCGGAGCTCGGGGGCCTCGAGCTTCCCCTCCCACTTTTTTTGAAAAAGTATTTTAAAGAGAAATAAAAAGATAGAGAGAAAGAAAGAAAGAATAGTGACCTGTCAGCGTCACAAAAAATGCTCATCTGACCGTGATTAAACGCCTAAAACCCCTGAGCTTCCAGGTGCGCTGCCCCTGGATTCCACCTAGGGTCCTAAGGCAGGCCCCTGGAAGCTCATTTGACAGTAATTTAATGCCTAAAACCCCTGAGCTTCTGGGGGCTCCGCCCCCTGGAACCCACGCCAATTATTGTCCTGCCAGTGTCATGAATAAGGTATCAAAATAATGCTCATCTGACGGTAACCAAACGTCTGAAACCCCTGTGCTTTAGGGGGCTCTAACCCCTGAAGCCAACCAATGGCCCTAAGGCGGACCCCTGGATGCTAATCTGACGGTAATTTAATGCCTAGAACCCCATAGCTCCACCTCCTGGACCTCATGCCAATTAGTGTCTCGCCAGTGTCACAAATAAGGTATCAAAATATGGTCATTTGACCCTAATTAAATGCCTAAAGCCCCTTAGTTTCCGGGGGCTCTGCCCCCTTGACCCCACCAGAGGTCCTAAGGGAGGCCCCTGAATGCTTATCTGACCATTATAAAATGCCTAAAACCCCTGAGCTTCTGAGGGCTCCGCCCCCTGGACCCCATGCAAATTAGTGTCCTGCCATTGTCATAAGGTATCAAAATATGCTCATCTGACCGTAATAACCCCTGAGCTTCCAGGAGCTCTGCCCCATGAACCCAACCAATGGCCCTAAGGTGGACCCCTAGATGCTCGTCTGACCGTAATTAATTTGCCTAAAACACCTGAGCTTCCGGGGGATCTGCCCCCTGGACCCCACGCCAATTAGTGGCCTGCCAGTGTCACAAATAAGATTCTGTTTAAGACTTATTTTTTGTAAATTTTGTTCCAGCTGACTTCTTTGGTTATAGTATCATGTACATATTTAATATTTAATTTACTTTTGATTTAATTTTCATTTTTGAATTTATACATGTATTACATGAATGTAATTGTAATTAGTTATTTTCATGTATCAGGCATAAATGTTCATTTCTATTTCGCCCTATCCCTATTTCCTTCTTTTCTAAGCGCATAGGGACTTTCTTTGTGTTAGTAATATGAGCTACCGGTATACAAATAACGTTCGTTATTATTATTATTAAAATATACTCGTCTGACCGTAATTAAATGCCAATACCCCCTGAGCTTCCGGGGGCTCCGCCCCTAGACCCTTCAACAATTTATGCTACGCTCTACCTGATCGTAAATACTTTAGCCTCTCCCCACCCACTTTGAAAAACGTTCAGAGGGGCCTGCATGTAAGAGTGGGGTGATGCAGATTTTGTTCTGCTCCCCCAAACAGTTTTGCACATTACGCCACTGCTGGTCAACGTTACATACTAATATTTGGCTCACATAGTTTCAAATTTGGGCCCCCCCTAAGAAATCCTGGATCCGCGCCTGGCAAGGAGTGCCCAAATTTTCACCTCTGGTAATTCCCCTTTTTTACTTTCACATGTGCTTTTTTTATTTTTTTGTAATAAGTGTCCTTTTCCCTTTGGATATGTGCCCCCTTTTTCCTTCCCTATAAAGAGTGCTCCAAGTTTAAAGTGATTAAGAGCAACTTTTTCTTTAATTTCACCAAAATCTTGCTCGCTACGCTCGCTTGCAGTTAAAGTTGATACAATTACATTTCTTATTAAAGCTCTTTTCAATCTTTTATGATTATATTGTTCTTAAAACCACATCAGGATTGTTTTTTCCTCTTTATAAAATGTAATTTTTTTGCACTACGACTTCACAAATTTCAAAATTTGTGCTCGCTCGCTCGCAAATGAATATTCATACCATCATACCCACCTGCAAAGTACATGTATAATGCTTAAACAGTATCTTGTGCCCAACATTTCACATTATTAACACACTCTTCAAGATTTTTCAAGCTAACCGACCTGGGGGGTGTTTCATCAACTAAAATCCCCCTGTTGTCATTCATTTATATGGATTTATATAAAGATGTATGTACTAATCATGCCAGATTTTCTTTGGGTAATTTAGCTTGCCAATCTTCAGGAGTTTCAAATTTCCTCACTAAATGGGACAGGTAAAGAACCTTTAGGACACACTTTTGAACAACTAAGGGTGCGTTCAAGTGCTTTTTCGAAGCTAGAATCACAAACATGAATCACAAATCAAAACGACGTTACAAAACAAGGTCACTGCGGGAAAGCGTTCAAGTGATTTTCCATTAACGCTGATTCTAGCTCATTTCGAGCCCAGCAAATGCGCATCACACTGCGCAGTTTGACCCAGGAAGTATAGGTCAACTTCGGCGCGCGCTTTCTGGAATTGTTTACGGTCGACTGTCGACTGCTTTTTAGAGCATAGATCGCAATAATAAAACAAAGAATGAGAAGGTGATTAAAGGAGGAAACAAAGAATAACATAAGGAAAGTCAGAAAGAGAAAATGATAGAATTCTTAAAACAAAGAATAACATAAAAGAAGGTGATAGAAGAAAGACACAAAGAATAACATAAGGAAAGACAGAAAGAGAAGGTGATAGAATGATTAAAACAAGAATAACATGAGGAAGGTGATAGAAGGATTAAAACAAAGAATAACATGAGGAAAGACAGAAAGAGAAGGTGATAGAATGATTAAAACAAAGAATAACATAAGGAAGGTGATAGAAGGATTAAAACAAAGAATAACATAAGAGAAATTGATAGAATGATTAAAACAAAGAATAACATAAGAGAAGATGATATAAGGAAGAAACAAAGAATATCATAATGAAAGACAAAAAGAGAATGTAAAATAAGGAAGGAACAAAGTACTACATAAGGAAGGACAGAAAGAGAAAGTGATAGAATGATTAAAACAAAGAAAAACATAAGAGAAGGTGATAAAATTATAAAAACAAAGAAAAACATAAGAGAAGGTGATAGACGGAATAAACAATGAATAACATAAGGAAAGACAGAAAGAGAAAGTAATAGAGTGATTAAAACAAAGAATAACATAAGAGAAAGTGATAGAAGGAAGAAACAAAGAATAACATAAGGGAAGACAGAAAGAGAAAGTGAAAGAATGATTAAATAAAAGAATAACAAAAGAGAAAGTGATAGAATTATAAAAAGAAAAAATAACATAAGAAAAGGTGATAAAAGAAAGAAACAAAGAATAACATAAGGAGAGACAGAAAGAGAAATAGTGACGGAATGCTTAAAACAAAGAATTACATAAAAAAAGGTGATAAAAGGAAAAAACAAAGAATAACATAAGAATAGAAGGAAGAAGGAAGAAACAAAGAATAACAAAAGAGAAAGTGATAGAATTATTTAAAAAAAATAATAACATAAGGGAAGGTGATAGAAGGAAAAAACAAAGAATAACATAAAATAAAAGGAAGAAACAAAGAATAACATAAAGACAGAAAGAGAAAATGATAGAAGGAAAACAAGGAATAACATAACGGAACAGGCCACGATAAAGACCATACCTTCTTAGAGCCTCTCCTGTATGTCATCCCCATCATCACCATTAACATCATCACCATCATCAACATCATCATTATCATCATCAACATCATCAACATCGTCAACATCATCATCAACATCACATCAACAACATCATCAACATCATCACCATCATATCATCACCATCATCATCACCATAATCAACATCAACATCATCCCCATCATCACCACCACCATCATCATCATCATCAACATCATCACTATCACCACCACCACTATCACCATCATCACCATCACAACCACCACCACCATCACCTTCATCATCATCACCATCATCACCATCATCACCATCATCACCACGACAACCATCATCACCATCAACACCATCACCACCATCCCTACCACCATCACCACCACCATCATCATCACCATCATCACCACCATCACCACCATCAACATCATCACCACCACTATCATAATCACCACCACCATCACCATCACCATCACCACCACCACCACCTAAATCATCATCACCATCATCACCACCACCACCATCACCATCATCACCATCATCACCACCACCACCACCACCACCATCACCATCATCACCACC